GGGGGTCCCTCCGGTTTTCTTTGGGGGCGCGGCCAAGGTTTTTGTACCACCAATATGAGGTGGTTCCCCCGGGTTGTAAAGGGTTGGAAGAAAAGTTGATTGGGGGGGGGGGGGATGCCGGGGCCTTTGGTATTTTTGTTAGGGTGTGGGGCGCCTTAAAGGAAAGGGAACCGGGGCCCCAAATTGGGGTGTCCTTTTTCTTCCCCGGGGCCTAGAAAAAAGAAAAAATTTGGTTTTGGTTCCCCCCGCCCACGGGCCCTTATGGCCTTCCAGTTTTTTCCAGGGGGGGAGGGGAAAAAGGGTGTTTTTGGGGTTTTTGGCAAAGGGTTGGGGGGGGGGGGATGGCAAAGGGGGGATTGTTTAGTGGGGGGGGGGGCGGGGGGCAGGGGGGGGGGGGCCGGTTGGGAAAGTTGGGGGCGGGGGAGGGTCTTTTGGGGGGGGTGGTGGTTTTTTTTTTTTTTTTGTTTGGGGGTGGAGGGGGGGGGGGGGGGGGGCTCGACCGCCGCCAAACAATTTGGGCGGGTCTGAGCTTGGCACTACCGCCGGTAAGTTGCGTTGCGACCAAATGCAACTTCCAATCCAACCCAACCCACCCTGACAAACAAACTGGATCCTCCGCCGTTCTGCGCGCAACGTCGTATTCCACCAGATTCCTGCTGCCTGCTCCCTGCATCTTCGAGTCCTCTCCCGCAGTGAATGCGCGCTACACAATAAATACGTTGCTGTCGCCTCCCCCCTCCAGCACATTCGGCTTCCGGTGCCCCCACCCCCCCCCCCCCCACCATCTGCTCGGAATAGCCTCAGGATGGCGGCCAACGGCGTCCAGCAGGTCTTCGACCCTGTCATGGCGGCGCACAGCACCATGCAGTCCGGCGCCAGTCGAGAGCAAAAGGAGCAGGCACATAAGTTTCTGGAGCAGTTCCAGAAGTCGGTAGGTTTGGAGGCAGCATGTGTTGTTATAGTCAGTGGGCAAGGTGGGCTGACGGAGGGTGATGATAGCAAGAGGCATGGACGACAACACTGGCCATGCTTGAGTCCAACTCGGCGGATGCAGCAGCGAAACTTTTTGCAGCCACCACACTCAAGGGCAAGGTGCGTTTCTCTCTGTCCCTTCCCTCTCTCTCGCTCTCGCTCTACATGTCTCGCTATGTTGATCCTTCACTAACGCATCCAGATCGTCTACGACCTGCACCAAGTGCCCCGCACGCAACTGCCAGAACTGCGGGCCTCCATCATGCGGAACCTCGCGACATTCCATGCTGGCCCAAAGCCCATCAGACTGCAGTTGTGCGTGTGTCTGGCAAATCTGGCCATTCAGATGACGGAATGGAAGGACGTCCTCAAAGATGTCGTCAACGCGCTGGGAACAGACGCAGCCACCCTACCTTGCGTTCTGGACTTCCTCCGCGTTCTCCCCGAAGAAGTCACGCATGGACGAAAGATCGCACTCACAGTACGTCCGAACGAGCCGTCCCGCTTCCTCAGCCCGCGCCAATGGCCCGATGTCTCGACCTATGCTAGCAGAATACAAGTCTAATTTGTGGTGGCCAGGAACACGAGTTGACTATGAGGACAAGTGAATTGATCGAAGACAATGCACAGCAAGCTTTGGAACTTCTGATTCGATACGCGACATCATCTCGTACGTATACACCAACCATCCACTTGGACAGGTTCCTGTGCTAACTCATCCTAGCGGCTGCTGCTCAGAATCCTCAGCTACTCAATTGCATCACTTCTTGGATACGGGAGATACCGCTCGACTCCATCATCAACTCGCCTCTCTTGAAAGTCATCATGGATGACTTATCCCACGACGATCCCTTTGACGCCGCTGTCGAGTGCTTGAGCGCCCTCATCTCGGAGACCCGTGATGTCGACGAGACATTGCAATCTATCATGGCTCTCTATCCTCAGGTCATCGCCCTCCAGCCCAAATTGGCTCAGACTGCACAGGATGACCCCGAGCAATTCAAGGGTATTGCAAGAATTTTTGCGGAAGCTGGGGAGTCTTGGGTCCTTCTGATCGCACGCCTGCCTACCGAATTCCGGGCCCTTGTCGAAGCAATCCTTGCCACAGCTGCGCTCGATAAGGAAAAGGACGCGATCTCACATACTTTCAAATTTTGGTATGACCTTAAGCAGTATCTTACCATCGACAAGTATGCCGAGGCTCGCATGCAAAGTGTAGACATATACTCGAAGCTCGTGGACATCATGATAGGCCATCTCGAGTTCCCAAAGCCAGAGAGCGGTGATGAGAAGGATCTGTTCGAAGGCGATCGTGAGCAAGAGGAGAAGTTTCGTGAATTTCGACACCAGATGGGGGACGTACTCAAAGACTGCTGCGAGGTCATGGGCGTCGTTGAGTGTCTCCAGAAACCATACGATCTGATACAGCAATGGGTGCAGATCTATGGAGCTCAGGCTAGCCCGAACAATGTTCCCGAATGGCAAAAGTTGGAAGCACCATTGTTTGCTGTGAGAGCCATGGGACGTATGGTTCCGCCAGACGAAAATGTCATGCTGCCACGCCTGATTCCACTCATTGTAGCAATACCCGACCACAACAAGCTGCGATTCCAAGCTGTCATGGCCTTGGGACGGTATACCGAATGGACCGCACAGCATCCGGAAACACTGCAGCCTCAACTGGATTTCATCATGGCAGCTTTTGATCATTCCACCAAGGATGTAATCAGAGCTGCTGCACTTTCATTCAAGTTCTTTTGCAACGACTGTGCTGGCTTACTGGTCAACGTCGTTGGCCCACTACAGCAATTCTACGAGAAGCACTTGAACAGCCTTCCGATGAGCAGCCAGGAAGAGATTACTGAAGGTGTTGCTTCAGTAGTTGCCAAGGTCCCCCATGACCAATTATACCAGACACTCAAGGTGTTCCTCGATCCTGTCATGCAACACCTGGTCACCATCGCCAATCAAGCCAAGGATGAACCAGAGCAGAAGCTTCTGGCCGATAAAATCAACCTTTTGACTATATTCTTCGAAGTGGTCAGGCCGGAGATACCGACAGGGCAGGAGCATCCAGCCGTCAAGTACTGTCAAGAAATCTTCCCAATGCTCGGAAACATCGTCAGTCATTTCAACAAAAGCATACCAATCCTGGAACGTGTATGTCGGTGCTGGCGGTACATGGTATTATCTTACCGAACTGCTATGCGCCCACTTCTCGCAGATCTTGCATCCAAGCTCATCGAGGGCTTTGGCACTTCAAGGCAAGGCTGTTTTCTCTGGGCAACTGCTTCGATTGTCCGCGAATTCTCACAAGGGGTTGATGATGTTGACGCAGGCATGGCAAACAGTGTCTACCAGTTCTACGAGCAGCAAGCCAAGACCTTCTTGAGGATACTAAGCGACTTGCCACCGGAGGAGCTTCCTGATCTTATCGAAGACTTCTTCCGTCTGGCTGCTGATATGGCTCTGTACTTCCCTTCGGAGTCGATCATGTCAGATCTTATGGAAACTATCCTCTCAGCCGCGTGCAGCTCCCTCGTGTTGCTCAAAGAAGATCCGATTATCGCTGTCCTGCACTTCCTCCGCGATCTCCTTGGTTACGGTCGCAATTCGTCACCGTCATCTAGTTTTGACAACACACGCCATGATGTGCCCGAACAGTTGCAGGCGCGCGTGAAGCAACTCGTCTTGACCGCTGGTCCCGTACTTGTACAGCGCATCATGACCGGCATGATGTACAGCTTTCCTGAAGGATGCTTTGCTGACTCCTCTGGTGTATTACTTGACCTCTTTGAACTCATGCCGGAACAGGTCGCGCAGTGGGTAGCTGGAACTGTTTCTATGCTGCCGCCGGGCAGCATCACACCCCAAGAGAGCGAACGCTTCCTCAACAACATCCGACAACGAATCCAGACTGGTGATGTCAGGATGATAAGGACGATCTTGCAAGACTTCACCACGAGCTACCGCCGGCGCAATGTCGCGCCACGCGAGGGCCTCGGTAGGCTTGAAGCATCACGATTCAGATTCTCCGGCTAGACGTCGGGCGGCAGGGCTTGTCTTCTCTTAGATAATATCGAAACATGTAGTTCAGTCAAAAGAGAAAGGTCGATTGTACATTCAGATAGCATAATTGTACTTCAGCGTTGAGTGTGGGCATTTGCATGGATGGTGGGTTTACGATAGGATACCAATGCGGCGGCGAGTGGGACTTTTATTTCTTCATGATTCACCACTTAGATAGTTTTACCCCGAATGTTCAATTCCATGTGATGGAAACTTGACGATCCGTAACTCACTTTTTCTTTATGCTGCCTAGGGCGAGGCAGTGGCTTCTCAGACGGTGAGGCGCTTCTCAGCGACAGAGAAGCCACTACCACGTAGACTACTGTCTGTTTAACAAAAGCACAGGGGCAGTTGCGACCATCCCCTCAAATGCAATAGGGGACACAGTGAAGCTTTTTCCCCGGTCTGTCCGTCCTTCCTGCACACAACCACCCAACATTCTTCCATCACCTGGCTCCTCGATATTAATTCGAGCAGCCTATAGGCTTTCTATTTGCGCATTTTTCCTCCTCTTGCCTTTCTCAGACACCAGATACTACTACAACGACTCTCATACAGCGCACCAAGGTACCATCAAAAAACGCCCCTTTCAGGCCATTCGCTCGTCGGATCAGTAGAGCTTCTTAGCTGTATTTAGCCTTCCCTCAGAACCAGTCATGCTGTTTGCGGTACATGATCACTTACTAATACCTGGCAAGTTTCATTTACATAACCGTCATCACGTTCGGTATAGTCCCTTGTTGTATTCCTGGGCCACCTCCGGCAAGGACACGCAATTCTCCGCGATCACCTCTGTGGGCAGTCCAGGAAGCAGACGCACTGGAGGACCCTCTTGGGCCAAGGCCCAGCCTACGCAGGGCTCAGTCAACCCAAGTCATTGCAGGCACACGCAGCAAGACACTGAGAGAGATAGTCGACGAAGGAGTTCCGCCATATATCTGGGACAAGAATAGTCCGTACTACGTCGCCCCGAAAAACACTTTTTTGTCAGAGTGCCAAAAAGCGGACAAGAAGCGCAGAGAGGCCAAAGAGAAACGGAGAAGAGAGAAAGAGAGAAGTCGAGTGTGCCGCCAGGTGGACGGATCCAGATCAGTTTCACCTTCTCCAGGCGTGAGCCGGTCCAATTCAATTGCCTTCAACAAGAACAGTCCAGTACAGCGCGTAAGCACAGGCAGCTCTGTACATTCTGATAATTCGAACCTCTCAGCACAGTCGTCACGATCCAAGAGACGGACATTTCTGAGTCGAGTAGTGACAGCTGAGCACGATGATCGAGTCGCTCCGGGATTTGAAGCACGAGAAGAGCGGCAGCTACGAACACCTAGCACTGGAGCGAACAGCCAGCCAGATTCTCCATCACATGGAGGACAAGGACAGCGAGGATTCTTTGGAAAGTACAAGGACAAGAGTATTGTGTACGTATCGCTCTCCTCCCTCTCTTGTCCCTGTGTACCGAACTAACATTTCACAGCGAACGCCCGAGCGATCTACGGAGCGAATCGGTGTCTCGACGTGATAAGCTTCGCCCCGACTTCCTCAAGAAGAATTGGAGCCGCCATCATCGAACACAATCCAACGAGTAGGTCGTATATCCACTGCTCCTCGGCCAAAGAGAAGTCGCGCCTCGCTGCTCTTGAGCATCTTCTCGTCATCACTGAGGATTTACTTCAACGACTCATAGACGCAGAAGGCATAACAAGCAGTGGATGGCTGCCAGCTACAGCTCAATCCCAACATGCCGTCACATACAGCATCGCAAGTGCAGCGGGTAGCGCAATGAATGAAAGTGTGGCAGGAAGTGTACCGGCGAGTCGAAGAAGCAGCGTAGCGCCGCAAGATCATGTCAATTCCCACGACTGCAGTCCAGGCTATAGTGGTCATCCTTTGCAGAAGACGCTGCTTATTCGTGGCAACAGCGACACGACATTCCATGGTCTGTCGCCACAACAGCCGCCGCTTCAAGGCCTCCCCCGAACAGCCAGTGACTTCATCAAGCAGCCTGTGCCTGTGCCTGTCGGTGCGCACTCGGGCCAGAATCGAGGGCGTGTGCAGTGGAATCTGGGGTCCGAGGGCTAGGAAGCAGTTCTCTATGTACTTACATGTCATCCCTAATTCACTAGCCCTAGGTCATTCAATACGAACATTGCTACTCTACCATGTCGTACTTTGATTGTCGATGAAAGGCAGACGCGGTGCGTGGTCCTAGATGTGGATTAGCATGTGACAACACATGCACAGGCTGGTTCCACTACGTCAGCTCGTGGCAGGAGAGGCTCAAGGGCCTACTTCCAAGTACCTGCGCTCGAATGCTGATGTGATGCCGTCTTCCTTCACAACCCTCGGTGATGCCTAGATGACACAGTCAGCGAGGTAGGTGACTCCTGATCAAGGTCTTGGGTCAGGCGTTCAAAGTTCGCAGCCCGCCAACTGCCCCACGTTTCGCGCCTATTGGCTACCGAGATGACGCGGATCATGACTTAAAGACTCCCTATCGCGTGCCACCACCCTGTCCTCGGCTTCATCTGTCTTGTCCTTGTTCTTACTGTACTCTACAGACCCTTTCTCTATCGCCCACAAAGGCTCTTTGTACCGACAGAGTCACAACCTGGTTTCGTTCCCCCTTCGCCTCTCCTCAAAAATAGTCCAACACCATCACAATGGCCATCGGCGACGCCCCCTCTAGCCCTTCCCAGGCCGTGCCTATGCAGCCCCTCGACATCCAAGCATGGACTGAGCAGGCCACTGTTGCTCTGGGTTCTATGGCCATTGCCGCGCCTGGGGATGGAGTCCGTGGCACCTCGATCACTCTTGCGATTCCTCTCGACGAGCACGATGCGCCTCGCCCCTCTGCCCGTCCCCTGGGTGCAGCAGCAGCTGTTGCTGCGACTGATGGTGGCTACTACCGCCGCAAAGAGCCAATCAGGCGTGATAGCATGAGGAATCGCGAGGCTCTCCTCAAGGGCAAGGAGGGCTCTCGGCGCAGGCAGAGGTGGGAAAATGGTAGGTGGCAACCATGAGGCATTAAGTCAAGAGAAGCCCAGCTTAGGATCCACTAGATCGTCTTCTAAACAACCCTCATGCCGAACCTCCACTTCCTCGAGATTGGGAAGTTCACCCGACTCACCGTGTCAAGAACGTGCCCTACTACCTCGCCCCCCTCTGGGATGCAGGCCTCAAGCGCCAATCCGCCGAGCGCAAGACGGCTGCTATCGCTGAAAAGGCGGCCACTCGGACGGTGGCCAAGAAGCCTACAAGCCCTGGGGTGGTTCCCAAAGAATTGCGCGAGAAGCTCAAGCGGTCTCGTGGCGCAAAGGGTCTTCTCATGGACCTTGAAAGCGAAGTCCGCAAATTTGTCACCGAGTGGGAGGAAAAAGAACGCAAAGCCGAGGCAGAGGGCATACCTGCTGATGCTGACAGCGAGGACGATGAAATCGTCTTTGTTGGGCGGAATGGGCGGATGAACGACGACCTGGCCAAGGATGCAGAGCAGAGGAAGCGAGAGCTGAAGCTGTTTGAGACGCCCGAGGGCGATGTGGGCGGAAGCTTTGGCAGGTGGCTTGTTCATCACATCGGTGTATACTATGGACTCAACACCTGGAGTGTTACCGTGGGAAACCCGGCCAGAAGGGAGGCGTATATTGGGGTCAAGGGGTCAAAGTTGAGGACAGGGAATGCGGGGACTATGATTTGCAGGCCGTTGCCTCGCCCACTGTTTGCTTTGGTCTAGGACTTGGATAGGGATGTGAATATGGACGTGGACAGGCTTATATGTACACAATGTCAAAGGGAGCATGTGAAGAAGGATATGATCTTAATGTGTGAGAGGGGATGCATGTTGCATCTGGCAATTGTAAATTAAGTCGCTTGGCTCGAGTATCTAAACCAAGTTCTGGGGTTTCTTCTCTTCTCTTCTTCCATAAGGTATAAAGACTTCGCCTCTGACTCCATACCCTTGTACGCTACTGTGTGTAGTTGGCCTCTCAGACTTGCCGTGGCTTAGCTCAGCAGAAGAGACAAGGGCTCTCTCTCTTAGAATGCCACTAGCGCCAGAAGTCTTGGCACCCGCACCGCACACTTTCGAATTGCCTGCCCCACCCACCACTTCCACTTTGATGATAGAGAAGCGAGACCGCCTGGATACATTCACCTTCTCGACGACGACGACGACGACTGCTCGCTAGCACACCACACATCTCTCCACCGCCAACATGTCACGAGTAGCCGGGTACGCATACGCATCCCCCCACATGTCTATACCATACGCAGACTCTACTACTACTACACTCACTGACAATATCTGCGCAGCCGCACCGACTGGGCGGAAGAAGATGACGAGGACAACATCACCTCTCTCCCACCACCCCAGGCCACCAAGAACAAGGACGGCACCGAAACCATAGTCTCGTACCGCATCGGCGAGGACGGCAAAAAGTACAAGACGACACGCCGCATCAAGAAGACGGTCGTCAAGCAAATCGTCAACCCCCGCGTCGCAGAGCGCAAACAATGGGCAAAATTCGGCCAGGAAAAGGGCAAGCCGGCTGGCCCCCAAACCGACACCGTCTCGGTCGCAGAAAACATCAGCTTCCGCCCCGTCAGCAACTGGAAGGCGAGCAACGAAGACAAGGGCGACGAGGCGAAGAAGAAGGCTGAGCTGAAGAATGCAAAGATCAAGTGTCGTATTTGCCAGGGTGACCATTTCACCACAAAGTGTCCCTTCAAAGACACCATGGCTCCCGAGGGCGACGTTGCGCCAGCAGATATGCCAGACGATGCGCCGGGCATGGCCGCCGGCGGCCTTGGTTCCGGCGGTGGTGGCTACGTTCCTCCCCACTTGCGTGGACGTGGTGGTGCTGGCGAGAAGATGGGCGGCAAGTTTGATCGCGACGACAGTGCTACGCTACGCGTGACGAATGTTAGCGAGTTTGCAGAAGAGCAGGATCTCCGCGACATGTTCTCAAGGTATGGACATGTTACGCGCGTGTTCTTGGCCAAGGACAGGGAGACGGGACGAGCAAAGGGCTTTGCGTTTGTCAGTTATGCGGATCGGACGGATGCGGCCAAGGCGTGCGAGAAGATGGATGGATGTAAGTCATCAGCCTCCCCTTGTTTTTTATCCTCGCCATTAGAGAGCTTCTGCTAACGTGTATGTGTGTGATACAGTCGGTTTTGGCCATCTCATTCTGCGCGTCGAGTTTGCTAAGAAGGCTTAAATGGTCTTTTGGGGCTTAGGGACTATCAAACGATCAACCGTGGAGCCGGGAGCCTAAGAGCTGGACTGAAACAGGAAAATGCATTCTGGCGTTTGGGAAACGTGGTATGCTAACATTGCCTTTGCCTCTTGACGGGGTTTTAGTCCGCTCTCCTGGCAATAGATGGAGAGTGACGGGGGGGGTTTTTTTTTTCCTCTTCACTCCTGTGAATTGAAGTACGAGACGAGAGTGGCAATGAATAAATGAATGCATGCATGCATGGGTGCAATTCTTTCTTAAAACAGCCGCGGTTAGATGAAATCCTATTATAACAAAAGTCGGCCTCTGGACTTTTCACCATCTTCTCCTCTCCTACTCAGTCAATTGACTTTGCACTTTTTGATCTCGTGTTCTGTCAGTCAGTTTCGAAACACTCCCATGTGGCAATGACAACAACAACAGACTCTAATCTTGAAAACTGCGTTTCTTCTCGGGCTATGTTGCAAAGATAATCCAAAAGGCGTAATTCGATTTCAATCTCGTTTCAGTTTATAATACATCGTTGACATTGAACACCAAAGCCTCGCGCGATCTAAATCGACTAATTGGCCCGTGTCCCTACCCCCCCCCCCCGCATTCGCCTTTTTTTTTTAATTAGACCGCGGAAAGTCGATGGGATAATGAACACAGTACACCGAGGCAATAGCTTGGATCTGCTGTGGGAGGGGAGGCTCTTTGGGGCTCTGGGATGAAAAAAAGTGTGGGAGTGTGTGGCTTTGGGATGAGAAGAGGGGAGGGGAGGGGAGGTAAAAATTCCTTTTTTGGAGAAAACCCCCCAAAATTTGGGGTCCCTTGGTAAAACCCCCCGGCCATATCCATCACATAATCATACCTATTGCACTTTCTATCCTCTGCTCACCTTTTCATTTCCTACTCGACTCCTCTCCCCCTCCCTTCCTTCCCACCAACCCATCCACTCAAAGCACACTGGGATCTACCTCGACAATCGGCCCAACATAGCTCTTCCTCGCAAAAACACAATAATACACCACACTAATACAAGCCACACCGCCCGTCACCACGCCCGCCCAATTCATCTGTGCAAGCGACGGATTGCGCGCACTGGGCCAGAAGCTAAAGAAGATGATGAGCGAAAGATAGCAAATGGCCACCACATTATTTGCGACGCCGAGGGCGCCGCCCAAGCGCCAGGGGCCCCATTTCATGGTGCTTTCGGGCGAGGCAAACGTCGAGGGGTGGTGGAAGGTGGTGGTGGAGGTTGTGGAGGAGGAGGGGTAGGGCGACGAGGTGTGGTCTAGGTCGCCGCGGAGACGGCGCCAGAGGAGGAGGCCGAGGGCGATGAGGTAGGAGAGGTAGAAGCCTTCGAGGACGAGGGAGATTGTGCCGTTGAAGGCGGCAGAGTTGCCGATGTTGATAAGGGCGAGTGAGGCGGAGAGGAGGGTGACTACGATTATGGCGATGACGGGGATGGTAGAGCGTTTGTCGATCTGAGGGGTGGTGTGGGTTAGTATATCCATCTATATATCATATTTGTATCCCGTGAGAGGGTTTGTAGATGCTGTGCTTATGGGTTGAGATGGGATGAAGGGTCGGGATTGGTGTGAAATCAATTTACAACTTACCATGCTAAGCGCCCTCGAGAATGGGAGTCCACGATCTCGAGCAAACGACCATGTCATTCTGCTCGCAGCAGCCAAACACCCCATTGCACTGCAAAACTCGAGGAGGATGATAATGCAAACCATGACTGTGGCGCCCGTGTCAGATCCCACCGCGCTGCTGAAGATGCGGATGAAGGGCGCGATTTCACCAGCATGTTCGAGGAGCCCGGTGATGTCTTCCGCGCTGAAGAGTACGGCGAAGAGCATGCCGAGGGCGAGAGAGCCGTTAATCATGAGGGACAGGAGCATGGAACGCGGGACATCGCGGGTGGCGTTCCGAACTTCTTCTGACATCTGCATCTACCTAAGCTCGTGGTGGAAAACCTTGGACAAGATCAACTTACATGGACTACAGAGTCTGTCCCAACGAATGCAAGTGCATTGCCTTGTAGGCCGACAAAAAAAGCCAGTGCTTGGGTACTCCATCCACCGTCGTTGTGGAACTTGGTGAATATCTCCTTGGCAGAATTGTGCGTAGGTGACAAATAGACCAGAGGAACGAGAATACCGAAGAAGCCTAGGATATGTACGATGAGAACAACGACTTCTATAGTCGGTAGTGCACCGCTAACAAAAACGTTGATGAAGACACAGAGCAGGAGTACTGCCCAGAGAAGAAGTGTCCCGTGCCAGCCTTGACGATGAAAGTCGTCTGCGTTGTTGAGGCTGACAAGCTGTAGTATTAGATCGGCTACGAAGAAGCATACTGATGTGAGCGCTGCAATCCAGCCGATTACCGTGAGCCAGCCTGACATCGTTAGCAGTCCTCCGTCAAGGAGACTTTGGATACTCTACCAGTAACATAGCTGAAGAATTTCTTATTAGATCGAGGGGCGAGTAGTGACACCCAGTGGTATTGGCCTCCAGCAGTAGGGACCGCACTTGCCAGTTCACCAATGCAGACGAAGACGGAGAAGTTGCCGAGCCAGATGATTATGAAGCCGTATATCAGACCAGCAGGTCCGCCGCTATCACCCAGCCGTGAGTTGGGTGAACCATTCGGGTAGCGGCAAACTTACTTGATGAAACCAATAGAAAAGATTCTATTTAACCGTTAGACAACAATTGTAAGGCATGTGACGATGGAAGGATGACTTACACCAGTAGACTCTCCCAAGTACACATCAAACCGCAGGACAGACCAGTCATACTGACAAGACCGAACCGACGCTGCCACTATTAACATCGAGAAGCACAGTTCCATACAGCATAAACACACCTTCAACACCTGCTGCTTTCCCGCTTTCGCCAGTTCATACCTATCTCTATCAAACTCCTTCCCTTTTGCCTCTGATATTGAGCCATTGTGCCTCGCGCGAAGCCCAACATCGTCGTTGAAGTTTTGCAAGTCAATGTGCTTCTCCATGGCTTCTCACGCTGAGCTATCCAAGTTGATAATTAGCGGAACGAATTCGTTGACGTTGACAGCCCCCGGTACAGGAGAGGATATCCAGTAGAATATCCAGTAGAAGCAAGCAAGTCAACGGATTGGGATATGCAAGAGTCAAGACGTGGGCAAGACGAGACGATCGTGATACAGAGAGACATGCAATGCAAGATCAATCTTAAAAGCCATCCCTTCACAGGTAACGTAAGCCTGTGTACACCGGCAAACACGGTTAACGGAGAGACACACCCCAAGCCAAGGGGGATTCCAAGGCGCGCTCGGCAATGCACCGAAACGTACTGTGAGAAAGGAGATAAGAGAGCGCTAGAACTGGGTGTTGCTTTGCAAAGCTAGCAGAGGCAAGTGTAGGCTTCCTGCAGTGCAGTGACGGCGGATCTCGACATATTGCACCGCAGCGGTAGTCTTAGAGAATCTATGGGGATGGACCATTGATTGGCTGGGGCGTTGCACGATTGGGTGACGGCTGCAGAAACCGGTGGCATGCAGCGGTGCGTTGCGGATCCCTTGCGTATGGTCTTTCAGGAGGCATCGCGTTTCTAGTCATTGCTCTGCTCGTGAGGAGGACATGGAAGAGTGATGCATGCATGGGTCATGCTTTGAATGACTCGTAGGAGGATATCTTGGAGCTTTGCCGCCTCCCGTATTCCCGGTTGACGGACATCGATTGCTCCCGCAGCTCGCGTAGATATTGCTGCTCATGGGGATAGACGGATAGTGGGTACAGTAGATGTCGGTGGAAGGGCCTCATCCAGGCCATGACCTAATGCATATGACTTCAAATGCAACGATGGCATCGCGCATTGCAGCGAACGACAGGCCAATCTAGTTGGATAGCAGGGAAGTGGAGTGGCAACAGAGACGGCTGTCATACCACAATGGTCACGTAAAGAAGCCTCCCCGCATAGGAGCTGTGGTACATGGGAGGACAAGAATCTTTGGGATGGTCAGTGGGTGGTCG